GACAACACCCGCAACCACGCTTTCCCCTAGCTAGCACCCACTGCCATGCTTTCCCCCGGCCAAGCACTCACAGACAAGATCTCTCCAACCAAGCTTATTGTGGCCAATCACCCACGTGCAAGTTCCTTCCGACCAAGCTTACCTCGACTAACATTTTCGGCCAAGCTCCCTCTGTCCAAGCTCTCACCGGACAACATCACGATATTTCCTACCTACAAGCAATCATATGCACTCCTTGTTGGCAAACTACCTTTGGAACCCAAATAAAATTTGAGCGGGGGTGTTAAATAATGTAACTAGATTATATTATCTTGCTATATTTTAGTCTCACATCACATAGGTTATTAAAACTTCTCTACTTTCTCCTGTATTTAAACAACTCATAGAATGAATAATATCATCAAGTTCTCTCAAATCTCTCTATACTTATCAAAATGACCCTTTAAAATCATACCTATGAACTAGGCATGTGCTAAAACGAACCAGTCCCAAGTCCAAGAAATTGCAAAATTTTGAGGTAAAGGGTAAAATATATGTTCAAGAAGTATATCATGAGGTTTTTAAACTAAAATATGTGTTATATAATTGAGTACATGTCTCAATAAATATGTATATATTCAAGAAGCATCCAAGAACTGCCTGACACAGACATGAATGCGGGAAGTGTTGAATACGGATACAAGAGCCTAGACGAAGTGTCCGGGTAACCTAGCTTGCAAGTATTTTTAATCTTGAAGTCACTTTCAAAGCTTCTTTTCCACACCTTTATTTTCGGTTCTACTGTTTTCCCATCGTTTGTTGAAGTGATCAGGTTTTTTTTATCTCACTTCTATACTAAATGACCAAAGATACGACAAGAAGCAAATAATTCAACTCTTTATAAGGACAAGATGGGTGTCGCTAATATCTATGCTCCAGCTTGAGGGGGAGCATGGGAAGATCACATATTATTTTTTGCCTTCAATAAGTTGTCTAGATTCCATGTATTAGGTATCTTTTTCTTATTCGAGTTTTCCTTTATAGAGACTCTACGAAGTGTAATAGTAGGAGTTGCCCTCTTCTTCATAATCAATAAGAATATATTTCTTCTCACTTTCTTTCATTTCAACAATACGGTAAATACAAATAAGCCATACAGCTAAAAGAAAGTCAGTTGCTTCCGGAAAGGACATCCAACTTTGAAGAAGCATTTTAAATACAAAATAGTATTGCACATTTATTTTATCTCAATAACATAAGATGTAATTACAAGAAATGCAAAACATTAAAAATCCATAAGACTCAAGAAAAAAAACTACATATATCTGATAACTAACAACAAATATTAATTAGAATTACGAATCTACTTAGGTCAAAACAGTGACATACTATCAATTGAGCAATACTGATTCATTCACATAGCGTAGATGGATCAACTATCTAAATATACATTTGAGATTTAACTTCATGGTATCAGATACATGTTGGACACCTTTCAAATCAATAAATTCGAGATACACAAAAAAATGCACACAACACCAATCCACAAAGAGTGAACAAGCATTCAATATGTAACCAACATGTGTGCGCTCCTTTTCCATACGTATCTATACCTCATAATTATGATTTCTTTTTTACTATTACTACAATTTATTGTTAACGAGATGCGGTTTAAAAATATGCTACATTCAAGTACTTTATACTAGTAGTTCCTACGGATGAGAATTATATCCTTAGCGGTGTCAATTTCTTGCTTTCCAAAGTAATGTTTTACTCGTATACCCATAGCTTCAGTTTATGAATATTCTGAAGAAAAAAAATTACTGGAGTCACCTGAGAGGGATGGTCCTATCTTCATAGAGTTTTACATCTGCAGTGTTCATGGCCTCTTTGTTCATCAGCAACTGTTGATCATCAACACTAGCACTCAAGAAGGCAGGTGATTCTGTAAAAATTCCCTTGCTAGCAGCATAGCTCAAGACATCTTCCTTCAGTACTCTACCATCTTTACCCGTTCCACGAATTTCATTTATATTCAAACCATACTGTTTTGCAAGGTTCTTAATAGCAGGAGTAGATAGAACTCCCCTGCTGACCACTTCCTTAATCTGGATGCTTTCACAATCAGATTCAGATAGCTCAGGCTTTTGCGAAGCTCTATGTCTATCACTTTCAGATGTGAAAGGATGAGTTTCATCAACAATTATCTTCAATAAAGTTTCACCAACCTACAATTTGAATAATGAGGTTAATTTTTCTGATTCGAAATTAGAAATTCAAGTAATATCTGTTTGGAAAAAGGAAATAGGTCACTCAATAAGAAGATATGTAGCTCCACACATAGTAAACAGGAGGATACTGGGTATTAAATCACACAGGCAACTTCATCTCATTTTATCCTATCATTTACCGCTTGTTGGTTAATATCCCAATAAGCAGAAGACTACTTGTTCTTCTGATATATATCCAGTTAAAATTAACACAGTTAACACAAAATATGTGAAACAGATCTAATATTGGATTGGTTAACCTCTTTCTGATAAACTGAAAAAGTTACAGCAGCTAACAATTCTTCTCACTCAGACCTATGTAATCTCCTCATTTACTGATTAGTGTGCTTTCTTAACTTTTTTCAGAAATCAGCACCAGTTCTTAACTTAAATCTTATTCTCCCTGTGTTTACCTGGTTAATTTGCAAACATATGATTTTACAGTTTAACTGTTTTAGATTTTATTACTTGTATTTTCTAACTTGTGAAAAGACACATCTCAGTCTCAGCAGATGAACCCTGAAATACATCTATGTTTAACTTACACCTAGTTGACAAGCTGTAGAGCTGAAGCTATAGTGTATATTAGGACTCCATCGGATCCCAATCTACTTCCATCAGGACAAGATGGAAGCAAAGTCACCATGTTTCACATTACATATTTTTAAGTACATTTGCAAATGACAAGCAATCACCCTAGCCTCTGGGTACAGCAGAAGAAAAGGTCATGGCACCATATTAATCAACTCATAAGGTTTGATACTGTATTGTATAACCAAAAATGATATCATCAACATAAAACACAAAAAGTTAATCATAACATCTTAGCTATGATTATACCTTCACTACATCACCAGGAACATAGAGAATTTGAAGGATCTTTCCTTTATAACGGCTTGTAATTTCTATAGTGGCCTTGTCACTTTGTACTTCACAAAGCTGTTGAAATTCTTCAACATGATCCCCCTGCCATAGAATGGATTCTGTAATAGTTAGTTATAAGAAAGATTAATCTATAGACTGGTAAATCAGTATTTCGATCAGACAAAGCCACACAAAATTTAATCAAAAAGAAAGATGAATGGATGTTCTTAAACATGTGTTATTTTAAGAAGAAACACAATCTTAAGCAAACATCAATACCAGATACAGCCGGAGAGTATTTTTGGCTAAGAGAATGACTCTTTCTCAAACCAGAATGTACTTTTCCATCCAATCCATTGTGTATTTAGAAATTAACTTGCGAAAAAGATAGCAAGTAAGATACAACCAGAACTTCATCACTAGCCTCTCTGATAATATAGTACTAATACTATTAATAGAAAGCTAGACATTTTGAAGCATGCCATAAAATGCTTCTTGTAGCGTATAAATTTGGAATTAAATATGTGATGCTTTCTTCTTTCCTTTTAGCTAGCATAAAATGGAAGGAGTATAATCATGATAATAATCCCACAAAAACTATACTACTCCCAACAAGCCCATATTTCGTCTCAGTACATCCCTTTTCCACCTCCCTATTTTTGGATATTTCCATCCTCTATCTGAAGAGATTAGCTTCACCTGCTTCAAGATAACTTCCACGTTCTCACTTCATCCTTTACCCTTCCATTCACAAAATAGAGATGGTCCTTCACCATTAATGATCCTCCTAGCAGTCATCCTTCCACCCTTTTTTATTGCTTACGATTAGTAGTGGGGTGAAATGTGGGGAATTCTCGCCCAATCTAAGGTGTGATTATTTTTCGGCCATTGCATAAGAGATCTCTGGATTACGCGGTGGAACAAGAAAATAATCCATCAACATCAAAGGTATCTCTAATTTGTTTCTTGAATCTAAAAGGCATACCTAGGATTCATCCTTCTGCTAAATTTCGTGATTGCTGTATTAGATCTCATCTGCATGTTTAGGACTATATCCTAGATGCATGTATGAAAGCTTAAAATAAGAAATTAATGGGTATCATACATCATGTGCGGGGATATACAATAATCTGGTACGATCTCAACCAAGTGTTATAAGAACTTTTCTCTCCCCTTTTAACACTTGGTTGGGATTGAGACACATTATTATCATTATGCGAGAATCCCCTCATATGACATATGACAATGATACTCATTGTTCTCTTAACGTAAATTAACATCATATTCTATGGTATAGTCCACAATAAGCAGCAGTATATGGATTCTACTAAACAACCCATTTTTATGATTTTGAATTTTTTATCCACATCCAACCCAAATCACAACATACCCAACTGAAACCAATCAGCTTTATTCAAAACAACATATACTTCTACTAAAAGGGTTATATACAATTGCAATCAAAGAAGTAGAGTTTTTACTAAAAAGTTTTTTTTTAACACCATATTTCTCCATTTCTCCATCAAACATTCTTACAGTTACAGTGTAAAATTATAACACTTAACCATCACCACGACTTTGGAGTTTTAATGTAGTGGAAGGGTCTCGGATAGCGCGTGTGACATGTAGAGAGACTAGAGTTTCCGTAAATAGTGTCTTTAATTTTCACTTGAGCTTTCGTGTTAAATCAATTAACAACATAATCTGTGGTAGAGTCTGCAGTAGGAAGCAATATAGGTATTCTGCTAACAATGGCCCATTTGCATCATAGCCAATTGAAATCACTCGGTCAACTCCTTATTCAAGCCAGTGTACTTCTCCTCTTTCTACTAAAAAGAGTTTTTACCATTGAAATCGAAGAGCCCAGAACTCTCACCTCCTGAACAAACCACTGAAGCAGCTCGCACTCTGCGATCCCTTCTCCAGTCTGAGCCAGAGGCACATCAACCACAGCAGCAGCGCTCGGGACATCAACCAACGCTTGGCTCGACCACGATCTCAATCTCCCCCGATCAACTCCAAACTACAACACAAATCAGAAAGCCAATTAAAACCCACTTCAGCAAACAGTTCAAATACTACGACCGCGCAATCAAATCAAGATTTTGACTGGCAATGGGAATGAGAGGAGTGCAAATTTTAGAAGCTACCCCAATCCACCCCCAACCCAATCAACCGCAAACTACAACGCAAATGTAAAAATCAATCAAACCCAGTTCAGTAAACAGTAATAACTCTATAGCTACGCAAACAATCTGAAGTTTAGGCTTACGTTTGGATTGAGAGGAGTCGGGATCTTTTGGGTTTGGAGAGGTGAGAGTGCGAGAAGGGCGGAGGGCGGAGGAGCTGACTCTAGTGAGCGCCACGTGGACCTGGTCAGAGCGCGGGAGAAATGGGAGATGCGTCTAAATGCCATTGTGGCTGGTGGTGTGGCCGGAGGTGTGCCTGTAGCATCACTCTTTTTTGTTAGGATCTAAAGAGATTAACTTTGGTTTTGGAGGCATAAGGAACGTGGTGAAACTGAGAAAGAGCAACCCATACGTAATTTAGACAGCCTAGAAAATATATAGGAAAAATTGCAAAATAGACCGTTTTTGCTAATTATTTAGCAAAATAGACCGTTTTGTTTAATAATTAGCAAAATAAACCTTTTTTTAGCCAACAGGCCAAAAAGAGGTCTATTTTGCAAAACAGCTCAGAAAACATACGGGACTAGTAGTCCCGTATATTTTAATCACGGATTAGTAAAATTTTCTACTCAGAAAACATACGGGACTATTAGTCCCGTATGTTTTCTGAGTCACTAATCCGTGATTAGTTGGCTCTAAACATACGGGACTAGTAGTCTCGTATGTTTTCTGAGCCTTGTCTTTCAAAATAGACCTTTTTTTTTCAAAAAAAAATGTCTATTTTGCTAATTATTTTACAAAGTGGTCTATTTCTCTATATATTTCATAAAAATAATCTATTTTGCAAATTTTCCCAAATATATATGAAAAGGATAGAAAACGTGTTATAGAAATCAGTATAACTTACAAAATAATTATAAATAAGTAAAGGGTTCATTTTGCATATGTACCCCCGGATCTACCCTTGCAAAAATCATCAGACGTAGATATTTTGCTAATTTACTCTCCCATGTTGAATTGTTTTACCCCTCAAGTATCAATATCAGTGTATACCCGGTTACATTAATGTTATCAATTTATAATTACATAGGGATCAAGAAAGAAGACAGGGGGGTGGGCGAATTAGCAAGAAAGAAGAGATGTATCTGTACGCCTATCCAATAGCATACAACTATATATGGTTATTAAATACTGACACCCGATAAGATATGGATACAAATACAAACACAGAGTGAAATACATCTGGATTTATATATGAATGTCTCTGAGTACATGTAGATGATGCAAGTCGTTGACCAGTGAATGTGAATACATATCCTATCATAACTCTTCACATGTGTGTTGGGATTCTGACCACTATGGGGGCAATTAAATCCCTAAATTGCCTCCCCCTCTATTTTATTCATAAAAGGCCCATATCTGCTTCTCCTATGCGTCTCATTCCGATAGAATCAAAGCTCCAATTATATGTTCCCCCATTATCTTTTTGTGTCCAGGATATATAATATCCATTTGTATTCGATTTTGATGGATATGGATATGAGTTTTTCTTATCCGGTCTATTTGTACTTATATCCGTATATTGTTGATAAACGAATACGGATATGGTAAACATCACATGCAACGCCATTTGCTCTCCTAGATATATTAATCATATTTGCAAATTATAGAAGAAAAAAAACAATATGGGAAATTTGGGGATAAGTTAGCATGTATCTTAATTTGGGGGCAAGGTTGTAAGATTGTACATTTGGGGGGCTAAATAGGTAAAAAGAAAGTTCAATTAAATAAATTGATGCGATTGTTAACTCAAAGTTTTGAGTCTTTTGACTAAAGGGCCACATTTTGCTCCATCTCAAGGCATTTCTGATAGGCATTCTTCTCTAGTTCCTTAGCGTGAGTAGCATACACGTCATTTCTTTCACTCAAGGCACGAGATGGGTCCCACTTCAATGATGTGCGAATGGGCCGATTTATTATGCGCCGGTCCACGCAGGCCGGTTTGTCCTGCTACAGCGTAATGTTTATATATTAAACATATTTTGTATGCCCCGGTAGATTAGTTGTTTGGGGAGAAAGTTGATGATTTCATTGCTTCGAATCTATTACAACTTCAATGGTTACAATAAACTCAAATAAACAAAAAGTAGATTTTTTTTATAAGATCAACTTATACAATGAAAAAAGATTATAACTCTCGTCAAACAGCGCAACGGACGTTTATCCTCCGCTGCTTGCGTGGGATCTTTGTCTGTGCCGGGGACGTCGATATCCGTGGACCGTCTACGGATTAGATCCAGTTGTCGAAAAATTGACAGAGCTCCTACTTCATTAAGGAAGTATTCGCTTGAAGCGCTGAAATCGACCAAGCGAAATCAGTAGCTCTTCTCGAGATTAAGACCAAGCCTAATCTCGAGGAACGGACGGACAGGGGAATACGGGTTCAGATCCTTCGAAAGACTTCCTCTTTATGCTGAAGTTCGTCGGGATCTAACTTGTCCTCTGAAATTAGTGCTCCACTCTCCAATTCGGCGGCGTTTCGCCCTCTTGATGCTTCCATGAAATGAGCCCTTAGGCCTGTATTTATAGGCTTCGGTTGGGGGGTTTTCGGATAAGAATGAGTAATTTGGTCTTATCTTTAGTTAATAATGGCCTAACCATGTTTGTACATGATGTTAAGTCAGTTGGGAACCCCTGGAACAGATAAGTCCAGCGAAAAACCGCTTTGAAACCGTGAAAACGCATTCGGGGGTCAAAACAACGCGGAGGCGTGGGTCGGCGCGGTCTGACCCGCGCTTGCGCGGGTCGGACGGATCCGACCCGCGTGGGCGCAGGTCGGGCACCTCCGACCCGCTCTGGCCGGCGGTCGCCAGTGCTGTCCACGGCGGCTCGCAGTGCGGCGCGGGTCCGCCGCCTCCGCCGAACTTCTTTTTTGGTGCTTTGTTTTCCGGGACTTGTACTTTATGTCGTTTCGTTTACTCGCTCGTCGTGTTGACTTGTACGCTCCGCACGAGTTGAGTGACGCGCGCGAGTTGATTGACTCGCGTGAGCTGACCGATTCGCGCGACTTGATTGACGCGCGTGTGTTGACCGATGCGCGCGAGCTGATTGACGTGCGCGAGCGGATTGGCGCGCGCGAGATGATTGACGCGCGCGAGCGGATTGGCGCGCGTTCGGACACTTGGAGCTGATCGACGTGCGCAAACTGATTGTTGGGTACGTTTTGATTAACGTGCGCGAGCTGATTGATGCGCACGTGTTGATTAGCGCGCGCGTGTTGACCGACGCGCGCAAGTTGATTAACGCACGCGAGCTGATTAACGCGCGTGTGTTGATTGACGCGCGTGAATTGATTGTCGAGCGCGCGGGCCATTCGGTTCGCCATTTCGCTTCATGCGGTTGTTGGCGTCAGATAATCCTCTTAGATTCGGATAGCAACGTTCGTCGTCTTCTCTCTGTCTCGAGCTGTGTGCGGACACCTATAGGTATTTTTTATACGCCTACAGATACCCCCTCCAAAGTATTTCAGACTTATTCTTTTATAGAAGAGTCTGGAAGGCTTTGGATAAGATAGGCCATTTCCTCAATCTCGTAGATGAAAAAACACCCTTCAGTCTATTTAGTATTTTGTCGAATAGATAAAGTTCTTCTGGTGCTGCGTTTATCGTCTGACCGTTGTTAAAATCTTAAATTAAAGTTGGTGTGTAAGTTTCTGAACTTAGCTCGTGTCATTGAGTTGACTTTGAACTGATCATCTTTGTCAGAAATTCATATCTGAATGCGATTGAACTCCTTAAAATCGTCTTTTGCCTTATTTTGGCAAAATTACTAATGCGTTGACAGGCACTGACCTTTACTATAACGTGTCGTCCGGTGTTGACTTTTGTTGTAACGCGTTGACCGGCGTTAACACAGTTTATACTCGTACGTTTGCTGGAGTCTGCACAGTTTAAGCTCTTAAGGTGTTGGAGCATGACGGTCCCAAATTTTGGGCTGCAGTACTAACTATTAAAGTTATTTCGTCTGCAGATATGGATCTTATCCCGAAGTCGTTGGATGCTCAAGTCAAGAGACCAACTAATGAAGCTGATGCGTCAATGACTCGTATTTATAGAATTTTTGGCAAATTCTCAGCCATCAACGGGTTTTATTAGCCTTTACCGACTACCGTTTGAGTCGGGCTAGCATGCAGATTGTTTAAATCCGTTCTGCATGTAACGTTATGCTAAAAGAGTTAACTCTTTTAGTGCTACGATATTAAATACGTAGACTTCGTCTTTCTCATGGGAATAGACTACCCGGCAACGTGTGTTAGACATAGACTTAGAATTTTTGGTAAATCCTCAGTTATTAACGGATTTGACGTGCATTTACCGATTACCGTTTGAATCGGGTTTGCATGCGGATTGTTTAAGTCCGTTCCGCATGTGACGTTGTGCTAAAAGAGTTAACTCTTTTAATGCTACGATATTAAACACGTAGACTTCGTCTTTCTTACGAAAATAGACTACCCGATAACGCGTGTTAGACGCTGACTTATTCCTACTTATGCTTCGGGATAAAAGTCCCCAGACTTGGATTCTGGTGTCTTCTTCAATCGGTGAAAGACTAAACCGGCAACTCGTGTTAGGCGTTAACTTATCCCTTCTTAGGATTCAGGATAAAATTCTCCGTGCGTGTGAAGCACGGATTTTGGTGTTATGAATAACAATATGCCATAATGTCGAATATGTGGGCTTTTGTCTTTTTTACGGTCAAAGACTAACCGGCAACGCGTGTTAGGCGCTGACTTATCCCTACTTAGGCTTCGGGATAAAATTCCCCGTGCGTGTGAAGCACGGATTTTGATGTTATGAATAACAACCTGCCATAATATCGAATATGTGGGCTTATGTTTTTTTTACGGTCAAAGACTAACCGGCAACGCGTGTTAGGCGCTAACTTATCCCTACTTAGGCTTCGGGATAAAATTCCCCAGACTATAATTCTGGTGTCTTTTTCAATCAGTGAAAGACTAAACTGACAATGCGTGTTAGGCATTGACTTATCCCTACTTAGGATTCGGGATAAAATTCCACGTGCGTGTAAGGCACGAATTATGGAGTTGAACGATGGTGTCTTCTCTTGGGGCAAAGACGAACCCAAAATGGGAGAGGAAGAATTTTATATTCTATCTCCCAAAACTGAAGAAGAAGAATTTTATATTCTATCTCCAATTACCAAGGAAACTCAAAGTGTGATTTCCACCCTAAGAATCCGAAAAGGTGAAACTAGGAGTGAGATCTCC